CTTTTAATACTGTAGTATAACACTAGAATAATAATAATAAGATCTCAAACTACAAACCAGCTTAAATTATGCATTAATAGAAGTTTGGAGACATTTTAAAATGCTTTATTTTTTTCCCAGAACCGCATCTGACACTTGCAACGGTCGGGAAAGGGGAGACGGCCGGGGTGGGGGTGGAGTGTTGGGGTTAGTGGTGCGCGACTTTTCTTCTTCTGAATAAACGAAAACTATGTAACACAGGTGTTTACACTTACATTAAAATATTTGAGCAAAGAAAAACCAGAACAGGACTAGAGAGAGATGAATATGATTTAGATTTTTATTTCTGTGATTGTGTATGACCCACAGGAGACACGACATTAACAGCAGTCGTCATTTCATTCCTTGGCTTTAGCAGGTCTGACGCTGCTAAAAATGACTTTTTTTTTTCCTGGATCTCTGAGAGCAGGACTTCAGTCTCTGAACTCGTAAAGTTTTTATTTTTTACTTTGCAATGTCATTTATGAATGGACACTTCTTGGAATGTTGGGCAGGAAACGTATATCCTTATATGGTGTTTTTGGGGTGGTAATTATGCTAATCACCTCTCCTCATGCACGAGCACCTGATAAGCATTCATCAGTTTACGCAGCTCATTTACACACTTTTCCTGAAGATAGAAGAGTTCGTTGAATCTGACGTGGCACATTCGTATGAACAAAAGTAAGAGAAATTTAGGATAAAAATACGAACATGTTCTTGCATGAGGCCCAATGTCTTTTCCCTGGATGTTCACCGGTGCTGTAAGGGGTGACTTCCTCCTGAGGTCTATGACCATCTCCTTTGTCTTGCTGGCATTGATTTGGAGAGCGTTGGTTTCACACCAAGCCAACAAAGTCACTGATTGACCCCCCCTGCATTCCTCATCATTCGCATCTACGCATCCATGGCGGGGGAGGTGGTCAGCGGACCAGAGTCAAATCTATTGAAAAACAAATTCAGGTCGTTAGCCCACCTCCGATCTGCAGGCACTGTGGCTCCTCCATTGTCCTTGAAGTGGCCAGAGATTTTATTCATATTACTCCAGACCTCTCAAACTTTGTTTTGTTGGAGCTGCTCCTCCATCTTCCTCCTGAAGCKTTCTTTGCCCCTCCAGATCTTGTATTTAAGATCCTTTTCCACYCTCCTCAGTTCCTCTTTGTTGCCAGATCTGAAGGCCCTCTTCTTCTCGTTCAGCAGGGCCTTCTGCTCTGGGGTCACCCATGGTTTATTGTTGGAGAAGCAGCGTACCTTGTTGTTCTTTGTGATCTTCACACACCAGTTTGTTAAAACTAAGGAAACTACAAAGAAGCCTTATCTGTTAGACATATCGGTAACGAAACAGTTAAGCTTGGTTTCAGTTTTGACCATGCTGTTTTCATAATCTTGTCTGCACTACTTTAGCCATTTCTGTGCTCATAATTTCATTGACTTGACCTGACTTGGATTTTTATTCTGTTGATTCAATTACAATTGAATGAAAGACATCTGGACTTTCCTTTTTTATCTTTAAAATTCCTGAACATGGTGCTTAGCTTCCTCAAACAGATTTGTTTTKGGTTTCAGTTTTACAAACTGTTTTGGGTAATTCATCTCATGCAAATCGGTGCTATTCCCATCCCTACTGATGTTCTTTGCTAACCTGATCAGCATATGAGACGACTTTGTTATCTATGTGTAAATTGTAGTGCTCATGCTCAAAGACGGCCACGTGGAAGAGGCAAAACAAACAAGATGCAAACTTTCAAAAGTTGGCTACATTTGACAGAAAATCAACCAAAGAAAGTAAAATGCAGACTCGTTCATTTTATGGCAGGACAGCGGCAATGAAAACAACACTAACACGCTACAGAATGGTTAGTTTCAGAAAGTTAACTTGTTTGTCAAATTGATGCCTTTTTAAATCTTATTTTCAGTGACTTACCACTTCATGTTAAAGTCAACTGTCTATAATTTTTGTTAGTTTACCATCAGAAAACTGTGTATCTTGGAAGTGGACGCTATTAGTTATGTTAACGTTAGCTAATGCGTTCTGCAGTGTTTCCCCTACCATTATACAGCAATAATRTAAAGAATTTTATTAATAATTATCATGAGGAGTCCTTAACTAGGATGTAGTTAGGCTATTATATATTCATGTATGTGTAAATTTATTACCATAATTGCAGGTGAGTCATGTAAATTTATGCTTTAATAAAACAAGTAKATCCCCACCAAGAACAATTTCCTAGGGGAAACACTGTTCTGTATTGG